ATTGATTACATGTTTGATCAATTTCAGATTGAAGAAGTTGGTAGAATTCTTCTATTTCATCCTCACTGGCTTTAGTGGTTGGTGCATAAATTTGAACAATAGTGGTATTAACTGGTCTTCCCTGTTGTTGTTAAGTGGCCATAGAGTCGATTCCAACCCTTAGTGACCCTATATAGGGTTTCCAAGGAGCAGCTGGTTAGCTTGAATTGCTGACCTTGCAGTTCAAACAGCTTTGAAGTCTGGTGTATTAAACCAGCCTTCCGGTCTTCCCTGTAGGTGCATGGATATTATCCTATTACAGACAGCGTTGTACCTCATGACTAAACAGATCTCTGGAAAACCAATCTGATCCATGTAAGAAATGGCATCTGCTATTATACAGGTGTATCTTTTTCTCAAAAGTAAAGAGGTCAGAGACTTCTCTCACATACTCATTTTCATATGTAATCGTTTTTGAGATCACTGATGTATTTTTACAGTTAAGTCTACAAACCAATTCTAGGGAAAAGGCACTTCGTCATGAGAGCTGGATATAATTACGTGAAAGTCGAGAAGAATTTTTGTATTTTGAATACAGAGCAGATGCCAGTTTATAGATTTCAGCTAATGACATTACAAACAAACCAATAGCAACATTGACTATATTCCCTGCAAATAGTAATTTATGACATTTCGCCAAAAACTAATATAAGTTCAACGGTTAAAAAAAAAACAAAAAATCAGCAGTTACTTTAAAGCTCAAGATACTGTTTTCAATAGAATTTCATGTCTAGTTTGGTTCCTTGTTTCAGACATGATTTTCTTTTCAGATGAAAAACCTGGGATGGCAGAGGTGTATATGTGTGAGGGGAGAAAACCCAGGGAGAGAAAACACTGGGCAGTAATAAGAGGTATATTTGTCTGGTTAGATAGCATGTGAGGAGGCAGTCTTCTGAGAAGTTCTCAATAGAGACTGTTTAGCTGATGTACTGAGAGTTGAGAAGCAGGAACATCTCTGTGTGAGACTGAAGATAGCAATAGGAATACTCCTCCAGGGAAGTCAGGACCAGATGTCAGTGCAGCTTGGAAGTGGCTCTTTTCTGATGATAGAACTTTATCAATACCTTGTTACATCGCCACACAGGGCAACCCCATACAACCTTGCGTACCATCATCACTGCTGTTGAGTTTTTTCATTCCGTACTGATGTATTTCTCTTACCAGTGTGTAAAAGGCATCTTCAACACCTTGTTTGGTCTTGGCTGAGGTGTCAATGAATGGAATCCCTTAACTCTTGACCAGTTCATGTGCTTGTTTTATGTCAACTGTCCTTGCTGGTAAATAGTATTTGTTTCCTATCAGCACCATAAGTACATCATCTGAGTCTTTTATCCATTTAATCTGTTCCCTGTAAAGGTTAATCTGCAAATGATTTACTATTATTGATGGGAAACACATAGAGAAAGCCTTCGCCTGTCTTCATTTATTGGTCTCTCATGGCACTGTACTCTTGTCCAGCTGTATCCTGTATGTCCAACAGACAGGTTTTCCCATCTATCACCACCTGTTTTCACTATGAATCCTCTATGGGGGGATCATATTAATCTACAAAGTAGTTCTGGATTAGCTGGATTGTCAGTGCCCCTTTCCCAACACCACGTGCTCCAACCACCACGTTTGTACTCAATCATTCCACACCAGCAAGGACCTCAAGCTGCTGTCTCCACGTCGGTTGGATTCCGGACCACAAATAGGGAAAAATGCTGGAGACCCCGGAACTGCCATGAACCAAAGTGGCACTTTGGTCCCGCCCACTACGTCCTTCCATTTTCTTTTGATGCCTCCTGTGCCATTCAGTATTCTCCCCCTAGAATCCTTCAAGATTTCAAGTCAAGACTTGAATTTTTTTCTTCAACCTCTTCAGCTTGAAAAATTCCAAATGTGTGTCTTCCCTTCTGGTTTTCTAACTCTAGGTCCTTGGCTATCCATTTCATTATAAAACAAAAAAAACCTTTGTCTTCTAGAGCTGCCCTTTGAAGTTTTCTGTTCCCATCTTTTTGTCCTCCTTTCTTCCAGTCACTTTAGCTTATTTATACCGAGAGTCCCTTCTGATCACCATTTTGGTCTTTTTTTCCCCCGTCTTTTTAATGACTTTTTGTTTTCTTCGTGTATGATGTTCTTGATGTCACACCACAAGTCGTCTGGTTGTCGGTCAGAAGTGTCTACTGCATTAAATCTGTTCTTGAGATGGTCTCTAAATTTAGGTGGAAGATATTCAAAGTCAGATTTTGGCTGTCATGGACTTGTTTTTAATTGTCTTCAGTTTCAGCCTAAATTTGCATATGAGCAATTGATGGACTATTTCATCGTTAGCTTACACAAGATTGTTGTTATTACAACGCCCTCTATGTCTTCATAAGGAGCTCTAATAGTATAGTGGTTGTGAATTGGGCAGTGAACTTTAAGGTCAGCGGTTCGAAACTACCAGCTGTTCCGCGGGAGAAAGATGAGGCTTTCTGCTCCCGTAAAGATTTACAGCCTTGGAAACCCTGTACAGGGTTGCTATGAGTCGGAACCGACTCCATGGCACATAACCAACCATATGTCTTCATAAATATTCTGTAATTTTTCTTCATGGAAATGATCACAATTGTATTTATATAGGTATTTGTGTAATTATTTATTTAAAACTTATCTATACTTCCTCTTGCAACTCTTGAGTTATTATAGATTTTCCCTACAGTTTACAAATGCTTTCACAGATTCTCATAGTTCTATTACACGATGTTTAAAAAGCTATTTTATCCACACTTTGGACAACTTTGCTCTGTACAAACACAAATCATTTAATGGGTAGCCCTTAAGATACCAAAGTTCTCTAGAAAGCGGGGAGGGAGGTATATCTAAATTTAACTCTCTTTATTCAAAACTGTATAATTGAGAATTATTTCATATGCTTACTTTTTAGGAGAAGAAAATCACATCAACTTCTAATTCAGACACAGAAAGGAAATCTGTTCAACAGCCTCCCTGTATGAACCCTGGCAATCCAGTGTTTTCATGTATGTTGGACCCAAAGACACTGTGTACAGCTACCTCACTATCAAAACCTCAGATGATTATGTATAAAACCAAGTCAACTGATTATGGTGAATTTTCACCTATACCGCAGTTTCTTCCCTGCATTTATGCTCCAAAGCGGGCAGTCTTTACACACCATATCAGAGCAACTGGATTTTATCAAAACAACAGTCTAAACACTGCACCGGACAGAACCAGAACCCTTGATTTTCCTAATTTTCAGCACACTCTATAAAAATATGTTCCATCATCTATTTAAGAGAAATTATATTAAAGAAAACTGAATTTTAAATCTAAAACTAAAATAGCTAATTTGGAATATGAAAAGAGTTTGGCCAATTTTTAAAAATCTTTAAGAAATAAAGCATTTCAACTAGCAACTGAATGACTTTTCAATGTTTTCCATAACAGTAACTACTTAAATAAACATGTCTTCAAATAGAATAAACAGTAACACAGGAAAAATGAAAAAGTATTGCTACACACTCCTAGAAACCTTTATTAAATAAAAATAGCAGTGTGAAGCTATTGTATCTGAGTATATCCTCCATCTACTTCAGTACACTTCTGACTGTGGTATGCATCTAACTCTTCACTGAAGAATTTTCCACCCTTGATTGACATCATGTCAAAAGTGCAGTTTAGCATCCTCAAGGGACTTAAGTTGTTTAGCGTTTTCCTTTGAAATGTTTTTTGAATTTGGGGGGAAAAAAGAAGTCTGATGAGGCAAGATCAGGGCTTTAGGGTGGAAGGGGAAAGTTTCCCAACAAAATTCTTTTTTTTTTTAAACTTTTTATTGTGAATTGAGTGAAGGTTTACAGAGAAGGTCATCAGTTTTACAGTTAGCAAATCACACACTTAGTTTCATCTCTTTGATTGCAATCCCCTCATGTAACATCACTTATTCAGCTTCCTTCCTGTGTTTCCTGTTTTCATTCCTCCTTTCCCAATCCTTTTGAGTTTTGTCTTTGGATAAATGCTGCCTTTTTTTTTATCTTAAAAGGTTACCCATTCTATGGTGTCGTACCTCAGGAGAGCTGTTTTCCACAAGTACACAGATTGTTGTTACTGTTGTTGTTGTTAAGTGCCATCAAGTTGGCTCTGACTCAGAGCAACCCTATATAGGTGTCCGAGGCTTTAAATCTTTGAAGGAACAGAAAGCCTCACCTTTCTTCCACAGAGCGGCGGGTGGACATTGTGGCTTGCTGTTCAGTGCTTACCGTATGGAGCCACGGCACTCCCTAGTATATAGATAGAAGTCCAAACAGCCCTGAAGGCACTGGTGAAAAACAAGGCTCCAAGACTTGATGGAATACAAATTGAAATGCAGCACTAGTGGCGCTAACTCATCTATGCCAAGAAGTTTGGAAGAGACAGTTACCTGACCAACCGAATAAAAGAGATTCGTATTTGTGCTCATTCAAAAAAACAAAACAACCGCTGACCACAGAATGCATAACTTATTGAACGACATCAATCAAATTTGTAGCCAGTTGGTTGAAACTGTAAGTGTCCTGGGGACCCTCCTTGTGCTTGCAGCTCATGTCCTGTGGAATAGTTGGATCCCCAAATTTGGAGCTAGTAAGTCAGAAGTAAGAGTGTCCTTAAAAATTGCAGCTATTTTCTGAAGTCTTAGGCAGACTTGAAGTATCATTCTATTACTGTATGAAATCTGTCCTAATTCCACATGGTTAGAGTTAGAAGAATTTCAAAACAACTGCATTTGTAGTTGGTGTCAGAGATGAGACAGGGCAAAGAGGTAGCCCAGAAATCAGAATATATAATGAGCATTTTTTTGACTGAAATCTTGTGACCAAAGTCCTAAGGACTGTTGAAGCCTGCACTCCTCCTTGCTTGACCAGTGTAAAGATTTGTCCAGGGCAAATAACTGAACAGCAACATCCTGGGACGTGCCATTAAGGAAGACCACTCATAAAAATTCTGTATTTGTACTTCTTTGTGAGATATTTTTCAGGTCGGGCTGACTGACTAAGTGCCATAGCCATTACTTAAAGGATAAACATTCTACTGGGTCAGTGAAGACAAACCCTTGGGGATGGTTTGAACCCGGCTCCCAAAGAACCATGTATGCTTTGCATGGCAGAAAAAATGCTGTCTGCTCCTACCAGAGGTCTTTGTGGTGGAATCCATCTTGAAGAAATGCTGCACGCGCACCCAATTTGCATGGGCCCTCCTAAACGGGTTATTTCCCTAGAAATTCCTGCCTATCCCTCTGAATAAACATGATGCCTTTTCCCTACCCCATATTTTTAAACCCCAGCAAAGCCTTTGTTCATGGAGACAGGGGTTAAGTGTTGTGTTAAGCCCTCCCAGTCTCTGCTTGTAAGAATCTTTATTATAAACCTTTGCTTGTATGGAAACCCCTGCCTCACCTAACTTTTTTTTATTCAGTAGAAGGCAAGACCCATCTCTTGAAGGGCGGAGATGTAGCTAACACTCCTGGTTACAAAGACATTTAGAGTTGGGGTTGGAAGACATGCATTGTATCAATATATTGGAATTTTCATCTATGCGAATAATGAAGTCACTAAGAACTGTGGCAAGAGTGATACTGGGGGTGGTAGCACAGCAGTCAGGTGGGACAGGCTCTGTGGGGGAGGGGCTGAAAACCCAGAGACACGGCTCTCACAAAACTGCACCAGAGCTCTGGATTTAGCATAAGGATCAGGGCATCAGTTTCCCTGCAACCGCCAGTGGAAAAATCATGGTACAAAGGAAAACATGGCATTTTAGAAATCGGTAAAGGCACAGGACTCCCTCTGCGGCCATCAAGCCTGGGCAGAAGTCAGAGGGTGGGGCTACAGCCAGGCTGGCACAGGGAACCCACGCTAAAAGCAGCAGAGTGACATTTGCAAAAGGTGTGGAGGGATTCTACATGCCTTTTTTCCTCCTCTTCCCTGTAATGCCTTCTTAGCACAACCTGGACACTTTCAGGAGGGCAGTTGTGCACCCCCCAAAAATCCAGCATTGAGACCACAGCTTTCCCACTGCACAGAGAGAAAGAGCGCCATCAGTCCAAGGGCAAATCCTTTGGGTGCAGCTTTTGACTTCTGCCTGTGGGTACCAGCCCTAAAGTTAACTTGTGTGGGACCATTAACCCCTGCCTACCCAGAAAGTACAAAGGAGCTCTGGTAGCGTAGTGGTTACGAATCGGGCTGCGA